ATAAGAATTGTAATTTTAGGGAATTAAATATTTATCTGTCTTGTGTGGATTGGGACTCTTTTGTTGATATGGATGATATAAACTCTGCTATCGAAACTTTTTATAATCAAATTTATCATGCTATTGAGATCTTTACACCTATTTCAAAAAGAAAAACAGCAAAATTTCCAAGATGGATGGATAATCATTTAAAATATTTAATTTTGTCTAAAAAAAAGGCACTCAAAACTATAAAAATACCATGTCCGCTCAGGTTTTTTCAGAAATTAGGAAAGAATGTAAAATTTATTCTCATATCAGCCATAGGAATTTCATTGAGAAAATCGAGTCCGAGACACAGGACAGAAATGGATTTTGGAGATATGTACGATCGAAAAATGAAAATCGTGGATATCCCAGTTCTATGTTTTTTGATGAGCATGAAGGTAGCACACCTCATGAAATTGTCAATCTCTTTAAGGATAGTTTTTCCTTAATTTATACTGAGGTGAGTGTTGAGAGTGATCGAAACATTCCTGTCTCTAATTTATCTAGTTTGTCTAATTGCAGTATCAGTTCAGTTCAAATTACCCCTCTTGATATAATATTTAACAAGATACATTCATTGAAGAATGGATTGGGTTGTGGTCCAGATGACATCCCAGTATTGTTTGTTAAGAATTGTAGTTGTATTCTTTCAGAGATATTATGTAAAATATTCAATAAGGCTTTAGAGTTGGGACGGTTTCCTGATATGTGGAAATTAAGCTATATAACTCCTGTGTTTAAAAGTGGAGAAAGAAATAATATTAAAAACTATAGGGCCATATCCAAAATGTCTATTTTTTCTAAGGTATTTGAGTCTATAATAACGGATTTTCTTACACCAATTTTGAAACATGTTATTGTACCAGAACAGCATGGCTTTATTAGGGGTAGATCTACATTGACTAATCTTCTGGTCTATGAGGAGGCTCTGTTGGAGGGGTTGGAGAATAAGTGTCAGATTGACTCGGTCTACACTGACTTCTCCAAGGCCTTTGACAGGGTTGACCATAAGATACTATTGGAGAAGGTGGCCGATGTGGGGCTGCATGGAGGTCTATTGAGCTTGATTGGAAGTCTTCTCACAGGTAGAAAACAGGCTGTAAAAATTGAAAATTACATCTCTTCAGTATTTTCGGTGACCTCGGGGGTGCCTCAGGGAGGACACCTGTCTCCTTTGCTTTTTATTTATTAATGATCTGTCAGGTGTCTTCAGAAATTCCGATTTTTTGCTCTTGGCTGATGACTTGAAGTGTTTTATGGTTGTTCGGGATGTCAGGGATGCTCAATTATTGCAAGTGGACTTGGATATGTTTCGGACTTGGTGTCAAAGAAACAAACTCCCCTTAAATGTTGAGAAGTGTAAGATTATTACTTTTTCTCGGAAAAAAACACCATACTTACATAAGTACGTTCTTAATGATTTGGAGATTAACAGGGTTGAAACTATTAGAGACTTGGGAGTCTATTTCATACTAATGTAAGCTTCACAGAGCACATTGAAATAACTGCTAATAAAGCAATTAAATTACTAGGCTTTATGTTCAGGTCACTAAAATAATTTACTAATATCTACACCCTAAGAAACATTTATTGTGCAATTGTTAGATCAGTTGTAGAATATGCTTGCCCTGTCTGGTCCCCTTATTATGCTGTGCACATCTCCCACTTGGAACGAATCCAAAAAAAGTTTTTAAGATTCATTGCATATCGATTGGGCATCCCAAGTGAATCTATAAATTATAATGAGTTAATGTCTGTCCTAAATCTTGAAAATCTGAACCAGAGGCGACAGTTTTTTGATATGTGTACTTTGTTTAAGATTGTTAATAATTCTATTGATTCTCCAGACTTACTTGCTAGAGTTGGCTTACATGTACCATCCAGCAATTTAAGAGGAAACACATTGTTTAACCTTGATTTTCGTAGAACCAATTATGGTTACCATTCACCTTTACTTAGAAGCTGTCATTCTCTGAATGATATTATTTTGAAGACTGATTTGGATGTTTTTAACATAAGTTTGGATAGATTCAAAAGAATTTTAAAGTCGATCCTTAAATGATCGTTTTTTGTATTTGTTTTCAATGTTAAGCGTATTATGTTGTTGTTTGTGTTTTGATACCTACTACAAAATATTTGTTTAGGCTTATGTAATGTTGTTTTTTTATACTAATTTGTCTGTTGCCTACTTGTTTATTCCAAATATTTATTATTGCGTGTACCTACACTTTAAGTCTACCTTTGTAAAAATGGCAATAAAGAATTTATTTATTTATTATTTATTTATTATCCCATTTGAGATTTTTTTGCATGGTTATTCCGAGAAATTTATATTCGCTTACAATGGTCAAAGGGGTGTTTCGTATTCTTATCTGAATTTTCTTTTTTGTTGGATTGCTGAAATGAATGCACTTGGTTTTTTTTATGTTAAGCGACAGTTTATTTGTATTAAACCAGCTCTCCAGCATTTCCACATCGTCGTTTATCCTTCTCTGGACGTCTTCATCGCAGTCGCCAGTCCATGTGATCGTTGTGTCGTCGGCAAACAATGTCAGGTTTCCACTTATGGGAAGAGTCGCCAGTTCATTTATGTAGAGTATAAACAAGAGGGGTCCCAACGTAGACCCCTGTACAACACCATGCTTCAACTCTTTGATCTGTGATCTAATGGCGTGGCCGTTTTGATCTCTAGTTTCTACTAATTGCTTTCGTTCCTTCAGAAAAGACTCAATCCATGCACCTATTGTCCCACGAAATCCATAGGAAGCCAATTTTGACAATAACTTTTTTTGATCGACACAATCGAACACTTTCTCCAGATCCAGACCCACCATAACAATTATTTTATTTGAGTCTCTTGCTTCATATATGTGCTGCATGCAATTTCTGATGGCGTCTGCTGTGCTTTTATTTTTTTGAAAGCCAAACTGATGTTTTTGTAAGATATGGTATTTACCTATGAATGTTAGCATCCTGTTTTTAATCATTGTTTCCATTATTTTTGGTTGACAACACAGAGATAGGTCTGAAGTTTGAGGGTTCATTGTTGTCACCGCCTTTGTGTATTGGAATGATCCTTGATATCTTTATACTGCTTGGGAAAATACCATTTGTGACCGAATCATTTATAGCAGACACCATCAGGTCTTTGCACTGTGCAGGAAGCCTTTTTAGGAATTCTAAGTCTAATTCATCAATTCCAGTGGATTTTTTCTTTGGTAGTGTGTTCATTACTTCCATAATTTCTTCCACTGTTGTCGGGAATATATAAAATGTAGGCAATTCTCGAGAACTAATTTGGTATTTCCTTGGTACTGCTGGAATGCTTTCTGTAATCTTGTCGGCAATGGTTGTGAAATATGTGTTTAGTTCTCCAGCGGCAGTTTGTGAATCCTGTATAATTTTATGGTTTAAAGTTACTTTTAGGGGCAGTTTTTTCTTGTTGACGCGACCTCTGATCTCGTTAACCATTTTCCATTTAATATATAAAAATCTAAATCGAAAGACTAAAGCTTTGCAGCTGCAAAACTATTGAAGCTGCATTGAAATGATTCAGTAGATTTCTAGAGAATTTAATTGGCTTCAACTGAAGCCCAATTACATTAACAAAGTTGTGCGGCAAGATTTGTGTTGATGTTATTTTGGAATAAATTAAATTTCCAAAAAACTGTAATGAGGAACGTTTTATTTGTTTTTGAGGAAAATGTTTTAGGGATTTGATTAATATTTTGCAAATGGATAAAGGAAAGATTGAAATTTTAGAAAATAAAATAAAATTTGCTCCTGCTCTTTCACCCACACCCAGATAAAAATAAAAGTCCAAATACTTTGATGCTTTGCAGCTGCAAAACTATCAAAGCTTCATTGAAACCAAAATCGCAGATTGAAAAACAACTGGAAAATTATTTACAAAATCCAAAACAGAATAATTAAAAGTTCTCAAATTTCATAAACTCCTGATACTGAACCTTGTATTAAACTATGTGTGAAGTTATTTATTTGTATTTATTTATGAAGAAGTAGGTACACCAGATTTTTCAAAATACTAAGGCTTTGAAAGATTGTGAGTAGGTAATCAACAAAAGACCAAAGAGTAAAAAAGTTGCGAGGAAAGTTGTTCATCTAAATTGGTGATTTTGTCAAACAGCTGGAACAAAAATAATCAAATTCATGGAAATTCAATGAGGGTACCATAATTTACCCATAATTTGATTACTTTTTTAATAAGGTTTAACACCTGATCAAAATATTATCAAAGAAAATGAAATACATTAAATTTTCTTGAAGACAAGACACCTTTCGTAATATTGTTATGAAAAAACCCAAGTCAACTTCTGAATCAATGCAATCAATACAATCTTAATCGATTAATAAAATCCCACTGGCAATATCAAGTAATAAATCAAGCACCTCTAATCAATGCCATTTAAAGTTATGTAACAACCAAAATTAGATTAAAGCATGCTACAAATTTTTGGAAACCTTGAGCATAGAGGATTCTCCAGAATCTATTTTAATTGAGCTATTTCGAGACACAAAAAACTCATTTAAGGCTTTGTTTCAATCAAATATCCTGTCCTTATTGTTAACGTGTTGTTTGTTATTAATAGAGCAAACGATTTGAGGTTTAAATGAGGCAAAATATGCCACGCGTTCCTAACAAGCACATAACCATATTTATGCCTAATTATTTTAGAACTTTGGCTTTTTGGTGCCCCTTAACTATTCCCTTGTGGTTTCACTGGTTGAATAATTTATTTGTTTATTAATTAACGTGCAAAACAAATAAAGATTATTAAATGTAGGTCAAAAATTCGGCCATTAAACAAAAAAAAAGTATACAATGTGCATAGCAAAGTATTTTGTCTTAAATTTCCAGTAAAACACTTAAATTTTCTTAGTTTAATTGGGCAAATTACAACTAGAAAGTAACTTGAATAGGACTGGAATAAAATTATTAAAAATCTTTGTACCTTTACGTGTAAACAAATTGAAGAAAATCGACGTACACTTTGAAATCAAGACCACACCATTTTCTGCCACAAACACATGATATCACCGATTTGTTTGAAGCTCGCCACAGCTGTCAACAACGCTTTGATTTTTAAATTTTCGCGCCACGATTTATTTGAAACCTTTATTAATTAATTTATATTGTTATTAATTAATAAAAAGTATTTTACAAAAGTTTATTGTCTTAAAAATGTTTTAATTTAAATAAAAGCAAATTCAGATTACACAGTGGCGGTAATTCAAAAATTCAAATAATTTTTGGTGGCGCCATCTATGGAAGCGCGCCCGAGTTAATCGAACGCAAAGAAATCCGCTTTCTGATTATGAATAAATAAAGTTAATTTATCATTGGGATACTTAATTGCAGTCAGAATCATGTAATAGAGTTCTATTTTATTCTAATACGATTTTATTTGTTTTAAAAATATGTACAAATGTTTGCACTAGTAGCGTCCTCTGACGTAATGCGTCATTAATGAATAAATCTTTTATGTTGGTTAACTAACACGTTGCCAAACTTCCCCCCAACGATTTCTTGAAATATTATTATTAATTAACTTAAATGATTTACCTATTACAATGAAAATTATTTAAAATCAATTAAGTAATTTAAACAAGAAGTTAATTATTAATAAATAAAAGCCTTTTTTTGGTTAAAAAAATAATAAATTCAAATTTACAACGTTGCCAATTGTACTTCGCTGAATCAAATTTTGAGGTTTTTGAGGTTATGTCGTTTTATTTTTGTTTAGTTTTTTGTTGACTCAACAAATTATTCATTTTTCTCTCGTTATTCAGCAAATTTTTTTGGTTTTCTATGTTCGAAAATGGCTTCTAATTTAGTGGAAAAGGAAGATTTATTGATTCAAATACGCGATAAATTACGTAAAGATAATATTAAATTGTGGTTGCTTCCTTATTATAGTGAAACCGATGGAGTTTCTGAGGCAAATATTATTGTAAGTACCTTTTAAATATTGCTATTGAATAGAAATTATTTCTTGTAAAAATCAATTCTCCATTTATTGACAATTTTGTGAAAAGTTGGGATACTTTTGGGACAATTTTTGCATAAAATATTAGCTTGGCATGAAAATATAGAGTTTCAGGAGCCCCCATTAATGGAATAATTGGATAAAGAAGCTAAAAATAGAATTTTCTGTTGTAGTCAGCTCGTTAAATATAGATATGATTAATATAAATTTGCGAACATAGCAGAAAGCCTAATGTAGGCTGGCCATTGGGCCCATGCCCAAAGCACCGTCTAGCATTTTTGAACAGCTAGGGCGTCGCACCGGTATCACACTCACACTGGGTGTATCATTCCTGAACTCGCCCCTGTATTATGATTACTATTTATTTATCTCATTCCAAAACTGGATTTTTGATATGAAATTTTCACGATAATTAGAGGAACGATACTTAGTACCTACTACTAGAGCCACTCCTTAAAATTGAGAGATAAACGAAACTTTCACAGTAAAAAATTATTTTCTCTCCAGAAATCCCGAATTTGGCAAAAATCCAGGTTTTTGAAAATTTCTATTGGGTTTTCTGGGGGTTATTGTGATGGTTTTTGTAGGATTTTTGTATTTACCTCGGTATTTACAGCTAGTCAAGTACAGATCGTTTCACCTAGGTATATTTGTTTCAACAATTTTGTAGTTTTGTGGTTTTGCACCTGAGAAGCTTCAAAATTGATTGAAAATTTCCCAAAAATTACACTGAGACTCTCAGAATTATAAAAGTTTAGTAGGTGTGGTAGTAGGAATGCATCGAGTATTCATCTTAACGACCTAGAAATGCTTTTCCTAAACGATGTTAAGTTTGTATTAAATATGTCCATATTTGAAGAATTTATATAACTTCTAGTTAATGCGGAATTGTAACCATAATTTGTTCTATGAAACTCAAGATAGAACAAATTGTTTTGGCGGTTTCCAGAAGGTATTTGCAAACCAATTCTAGATAATAAATCAGGACAATCAATAACATTATTAACTATTTTAAAAACCATACAAAGATCAAAGATTTGTCGACGTTGTTCCAATGAAGTTAAGTTAAGAAGCGACATTAAATCAACAAAACTAATATCTTCCCTTGGTATGCCCAATTTAAATGCAATATATCTGAGGAATTTCCTTTGAATTCTTTCAAGACGAATTTTATAAATTTCATAATGTGGTGACCGAGGGGTCAACCACTTCCCGAAATACGTGTACAATTGGCCCGAATTACCTCCGAAATACTTCGAAGTACCTAGAAATACCGTGAAGTACGTCGAAATACCAGGTATTCCCGTCGAAGTATACGAGAAATCCCATGGAATTACCGTCGAAGTACCCGAAATACCCTCAAATTACCGCGCGAAGGCCCGCAATACTAAAAAAATTCTCGTTTATAACGATTCTTCTTGTGGATCACAGTGAAGAATTTTTGCTTGGATTTTTGTATCTTTTGATATGATGGATTATATTCGGACACACAAACAACAATTAAATCAATAGTTGCAGGAATAAGAATAAAACATTTACATAAGATAAAAACAGCTATCGGAATATCAGATATTTTCAACGGAATGAGAAGTGTGACTTCTCCAAAAATCATACAAAAAACCGCTCATCCATGGTGTAACTCTTTGGTTTTTGGTTTAAATGATTTTTTAGTATCATTTTTGAGTTCTCCAGAAAAAAAATGTTCCAATTGGCTATTTTCAATGTTCTCAAAAATACAGGGAAAGTCAAAAATAATCCCCTGTTAACCCCTGTTCAGTCCTCGTTGGATGACCGATGATCTTGTACTCTTAACAACTAAAGGGTCATTTACATCCACTTAACCTAACTTAACGTACGGAAAATTATAATTAACGTACGAAACTGATAATTTACAGACTAGTGCAATCTGTGTGTCATTCAGAATTATTATTGAAATTAACGTACGGATTTTCTCAAGTTGAAGTTGGTTCAGTTTTCCGTGTGGTACGTTAATTTTCTTAATTTTTAAGTGGATGTAAACAACTACAGATAAGTATACATGATCATCAACTTTTCTTTATTACCTATTAATTTTCTGTATGTTAAGTTTAGTGGATGTAAATGACACTTTACTAATACTGATTACTGATACATATCAGATAGTATATCTTTCCATTTGTTACAATTAATCTGCAGTAAATCCAAATTATGTAAGCATATTTAGCCCTCGATTTAGCCTGTTCGAAGATGGACTATAATTTTCATTCTATAATATTTCAATTTTGGGTGATAAAGAATTAATTATTCTCGGTGCATAAAAAAAATACTAATAATTTTAAATAGCGCGAAATAACTCGGCTTACCGCGAAATACTTCCGAATTACCTCGAAATACTTCGAATTACCTCGAAATACTTAGAATTATCTGCAAATATTTCTTAATACTCGGCAATACCACAAAAAACTAGGTTCGAATTACCACCACCGAAATATTTTGAATTTCGCGAAATACTTGCGAAATACCGACATTTTCGCAATACGTGTACACATTTTTACAGAGTGGTTGACCCCTCGGTGGTGACCAAACTGGACACGAATATTCCAGTAATGATCTGACAATAGCGCAATAGACAGTTTTTAACGTAAAAATATTGTCAGTCTCTCAACGACATGAGCATAAAACCTAACATCTTTAGGGACTTGTTGGCAATAGTGTCAATATGTTCAGTTAATGTTAGTTTTTAACCAAAGAAAATTCCAAGGTCTTTTGATAGTCTCAATTCTCATAATTTCATCATTATATTAAGAAAATAAGTATGAATATAAGATGACTTCTTCCTTGAAGCAAGTCAAAACCAGGTCCTGGTGCAAGACTATAGAGCACAGCGGACCCCCTTCACCATGGGCATCGGAAGGTTCAAATTTTCAAATTCATTGACTGGTTAGGTGGGGGGATGGGCAAAATGGCTCATGGCAAATTCGTAGGCGAGAAATTTTTGGAAGGTTAACAGACGATAGCTATTTTTGTAACAAGTAGGTACCTTCCCTTTGCTTTTGTTCACCTAATCTTCCATTTTTAATGTTGTTGCTCTGTTATGAGTTTGAGTTTAAATGAGGTTTTTTGGCAACCGTTCTGAAAGTACTTACTTTTCGAACGCGTTTTACTTGAGAAAGTATGCCTTTTTAAGCCTAGGCCGAAATGTGATTACTTAGGCCAAGAAGAGATTATATACTTTCCGGCCTAGTCTGGAAAGTATGTTGTTTCCGGCCAGAACATAGTATACGTAATAATACTCCCGGAAAGTGTTTTTTCGGACTCGCAGACTGGAATCTTGTCAAGTCGTCCAAAAAACAGTACTTTCCAGAGTCCTCACGCAATAAACTATTTTTGAAGAGTCATAAAAACTCCAAAAATTGATTGATTTGAAACCTTAATTTGAAACTGATTACGCATTGGCATTGTTGTGGCAAGAGCGGCAGGTAAATTTTTTTCTGACTGCTATAACGACTTTTAGGGACTAGGCCGAAAATTTCGAACTGGAATGGGTCCGTACAATAGGGCGGACGTAAAATTTTATTTTATTTTATTTTTATTTTTATTATTTTTATTTTTTTGATTTTCATGTTGTGTCCAAAGAGTGGCAGGACACGCCGGGCCCCTTCGGGACCCGGGCCCTTGTGCGCCACACGACTTGTACGACCTGTTGCTAAAGTCCGACAAATACCATTTTAAAGTCACGTGATACTGGTGGCAAAAAACGTATGTCCATTGATTATGTCGTTCATATCACCTACAAAATGCTACTGGTGATTAATTACTATTGAATTTTAGGATATGTTCCCACTAGCATTTTACAAACGCGTTTCTGATGTAGTATTGACCAATCAGAGAGCAGTTTTAATACTTGCAATTGTTGCGAGACTCACTTTCAGTGTTGCCAGGTCTACTGATTTATCAGTAGATCTACTGATTTGGCCATTGGTCTACTGATATACTGATATCAATGTGAATTCTACTGATACTAGGTCATGAGCGCGTTCGCGCGCTTTTTTTTTAAATCAAGTCCATCAAAATAATTATAAAATGGAAAATATTTATTAGGTAGGTGTTGTACAAAAAACAGCATAATTTTTGATTTAAATGTACATTATACATTAAATGTAACAGTGAGATAAGTTGTATAGATGTTATTCTAGTGAAGAAATTTCAAATGCGATGGATGGAGTTGGTGACTAATTATTTTTGTATGGTATATCATAATGATTTTAAATCGATCACATTTCTTGAATGTACGGTGTGCGTATGTCTACTTATCTCATTCTGTTTTATGGAACTCGTAGGTGTAGGTATACATTATTCGAAGTGGTTTATTTAAAACAGAATAATCATAACCATAATCAAGGTGTTATTATAAACCGAGTTAGTAACTATTTATGTGCTGTGGTATAATACGAGATATCGAGTCTTAATTTTTTTTTTACATTTTCATGAAGTTCCTTTTTTTTTATTAGGCCAGTTATTGAAGTCTACTCGATCAACATTTTACTGCAAACAATCGAAAAAAAAAATTTTTTAAAAGATTTTAAATTCAATCGCTCAATTATTCAACTTACATTTTTTGTTTGTACCTACGTGGTAGACATAAATTTTAAATGTGATCAAAGTAGTTGGTGAATTATTACTTTTGCGGTACATCGTAATGACTTTAAATCAATCTTATTTTTTGAATATACGGTGTGCATATGTCCAGTGGAACTTATTCTATTTTATGGAACTCGTAAGAATCCAAAGTTTAAAGAGTGCTAAGTCTTCATGTCGTTCTTCGTTATTTTCAATCATTTATGTTTATCCTGTTCAGGTTTTTGTCTTGTGATCTTCAAATATCTTGTAAATAAGTTGTAAAGATCTTCTGAAATCACCTATGACTGCGAAATTTCAAAATTAAATTATCAAAAAAACAATTCTTTAAAAACATGGTTTTTGAC